ATTATATTCTCTGTTTTATATATATATATATATATAAAGGTTATTGACTTTTCTGTGTTAATTTTAGGTCCTGCTAATTCAGTGAATCCCTTTATTGCTTGAATTAGCTTTGTCATGGATTCATTGGACTAATGCTGCGATTCCATTTATATAAAATTCTTGAGAAGGCAAAACTCTAGTGATGGAAGGCCGACTCCCGGGGGCCAGGGGCCAGGGGCCAGGGGCCAGGACTGGGGAGGGGCGGACTGCAGGGAGCACTGATGAGTTTGGGGATTCTGCAGATCTCCTGGATCTTGATTGCCGTCTTGGCTTCAGGACTGTATACATTTCTTAAAATTCATCAAACTGAACAGTTAAAATACATGAATTTTATTGTGTGTAAATGAGTCTTCAGTAAAACTGAGTCCTAAAAGGCCAGAGGAGCCCGAAAGGCCAGGTGCAGTGGAGCGATTAAGTAGGACGAAGACCAGTGTCGACACCATTGCGGGCTTGGTGGAAGCCATTGCATCCGTTGCTGTGGAGGTGGGCTTGGTGGAAGCCTCACTGTGGAGGCGGGCTTGGTGGAAGCCATTGTGTACATCACTGTGGAGGTGGGCTTGGTGGAAGCCTCACTGTGGAGGCGAGCTTGGTGGAAGCCATTGCGTCCGTCGCTGTGGAGGCGGGCTTGGTGGAAGCCATTGCGTACATCACTGTGGAGGTGGGCTTGGTGGAAGCCATTGCGTCCGTCACTGTGGAGGTGGGCTTGGTGGAATCCATTGCATGTGTCACTGTGGAGGTGGGCTTGGTGGAAGCCATTGCATCCATCACTGTGGAGGCGGGCTTGGTGGAAGCCACCGCGTCCGTCGCTGCAGAGGCGGGCTTGGTGGAAGCCACCGCATCCGTTGCTGTGGAGGCGGGCTTGGTGGAAGCCACCGTGTCCGTCGCTGTGGAGGTGGGCTTGGTGGAAGCCTCACTGTGGAGGCGGGCTTGGTGGAAGCCATTGTGTCCGTCACTGTGGAGGCAGGCTTAGTGGAAGCCTTACTGTGGAGGTGGGCTTGGTGGAAGCCATTGCATCCATCACTGTGGAGGTGGGCTTGGTGGAAGCCATTGCTTCCGTCACTGTGGATGCGGGCTGGGTGGAAGCCATTGCATCCATCACTGTGGAGGTGGGCTTGGTGGAAGCCATTGCTTCCGTCACTGTGGATGCGGGCTGGGTGGAAGCCATTGCATCCATCACTGTGGAGGTGGGCTTGGTGGAGTCCATTGAGTCCGTCACTGTGGAGGCAGGCTTGGTGGAAGCCATTGCTTTTGTCACTGTGGAGGCAGGCTTGGTGGTACTAAGGTACCAGCCAGTTTGTTCTGGATTGGGAAGTGACTGATTGGAGGGGAGGTGGGTCAGCAAGGATACCCCTATTTCTTCATCTCACTCGGCCATGAAGTGGAAGGGTAAAATAGGATTGCAGCTACAGAGAAAAATGGGATTAAGGGGGATATTTTTGAGATGGCTTTAATGCTGTCGATAAGTCTGGTGAATTGAGGGCTGAAAATTGGCCATTGACCTAGCCATGTAGAGTCTCTGGTGTTCTTCTGGGCACAACACTGTTTGAGGGGACTTTGCGAGAAAATAGCAAACAAAGAATTTGTTGTTGTTAGGTGCTGTTGAGTTGGTTCCAATTCATAGCAACCCCTCCATACAACAGAACGAAACACCGCGCAGTCCTGTGCCATCCTCACAGTTGTTGCTGTGTTTGAGCCCATTGTTGTAGCCACTGGGTCAATCCATCTCACTGAGGGTTCTCCTCTTTTTTTGCTGACCCTCTACACAGTGAATTTAGTCCTGTCTGTCTGTCTGTCTATCTATCTATCTATCTACCTTAGTTATCTAGTGCTGCTGTAACACTAGTGCTGCTATAATAGAAATACCACAGGTGGATGGCTTTAACAAAGAGAAATTTATTCTCTCATAGTCTAGGAGGCCAGAAGTCTGAATTCCAGATGCCAGCTCCAGGGGGAGGCTTTTTCTCTCTGCTCTGGGGGAGGGTTCTTGTCATCAATCTTTCCCTGCTCTAGGAATTTCTCAGCACAGGGACTCCAGGTCCAAAGGACGTGCTGTTCTCCTGGCTCTTGTTCCTTGGTGGTATGAGGCCCCTCTGTCTCTCTGCTCAATTCTCTCTCTTATATCTCAAGAGATTTTTGGGGGACACAATTCAATCCATAACACTATTGCTAGATAGATATATAGATATAGATATATGGGGGATTACTGCAAATTGGACAAAGAAATGTGGTGGGAGCTTTTAGGGGAGAGTGGGGTCAAGAGAAGGGTTTTGTCAGATGGGAGAACAGCGTATGTGGATGCTGGTGGGAGAGATCAGCACGGGGGTTGGGGTCGATGATGTAGGAGAAAGACCGAGGGTGATGTTCGGGACAGAGCACTGACTTGTGCCCAGTGGCTCCCAGCAGGCTCTCTGTGGCTGGTCTGTCCTCATGGGTTGCAGGCCGACACGCAGCACACATGACGGTGGTGTGAGGCTGTGGACGCGCCTCTTCATTTCAGTCAAGTGGGAGGGAGACCATCCTGATGGTAAAGAGGCAAGAGGAGGCTTTAAGGCTTGGGGAGGAGGCAGGCAGAAGGCACGACATGATCATCTGTGAGAACAGGAGACGGGTGGACGGGCAGGTGGCTGTGGCCAGTCCACTTGGCGGGTGATCTCCTGCAGCCGTGTCGTCAGGGTGGGGGGGACAGAAGGGGGCAGTTAGTTTGTGTCCTTCCTCTGTCTTCTCTTACCTGTTCTGCCATTGCTGCCGCACACATCGTGGGTTCCTTTATTTAGGCAAATCATCTTCTTTCTACGTTTCGGATCAGTTTTTCAAAAGGATTCTAATGCTTCTCAGGAATATGTTGTATATCATCATGGCAGCCACCTTTTACTTGGTGTTACTGTTTGGCGGAATTTCCTTGTTTATATCAATTGTTCTTCTCTACATTGTTGTTGTGTTGCTGCTGTTAGCGGCTGCTGTGTTGTCTCCAGCTCACGGCCAACTTGTGTATGACAGACCAAAACGTTGCTGCCATCCTCGTGATCCTTGATATGTTTGAGCCCGTTGTAGAGCCTGTTGTGTCAATCCATCTCCCGGAGGTTGTCTCTCCTTTTTGCTGACCCTCCGCTTTATCAAACGTAATGTCCTGTCCTAGCAATTGGTCGTTTCTGATGGCGTGTCCCAAGTAAGCAAGATGAAGTCTCACCATCCTCGCTTCTAAGGAGCATCCTGGCTGTATTTCTTCTAAGATCTTCATTGTAGCTTTCAGTAAATATCTGTCGAACGAATGCACACATGAGTTTTCACAACCACCTTAACAAGTAGTTATTATTATGGTTTTTTAAAGAATGATTTATTGAGATGAAATTCACATAACATAAAATTAACCATTTTAAAGTGAACAGTTCAGTGGCATTTAGTGCAGTCACAAATGTTCCAATTTTATAGGTGGAGAAATTTGCGGTCCCTTGTCCTGGGTCATCAGCTATTAAGTGCCAACTCAGGGTAGAGAGTGGACTCCATAAAACAGGTGTTCCTGTGACTCCATTGTAAGTTTCTTAATTTCTTCTCCTGTAACAGGCCCGGTACAAGCAGAGCCTCGACCCCACCGTGGATGAAGTCAAGAAGCTTTGCACGTCTCTGCGCCGAAACGCCAAGGAGGAACGGGTTCTCTTCCACTACAACGGCCACGGCGTGCCCCGGCCCACGGTGAACGGCGAGATCTGGGTCTTCAACAAGGTGGGCGTGCCGTGACGGTTCCGTGAGCCACGCTCCTTTGTCTTTCTGCTGAGGAGTTTGTTCATTGGGTGGCTGGCTGCAGGTTGACGGTGATGTTCACGTCACCAGGCCCTCTGGTGTTTCACCCTTTCATTACCACGTTTTTCCTCCTTAAAAGTTTTTTTTTTGATGGCACGTGTTTTCAGTATTGGAATGCATGCTTACTAATTGAGTGTGTTTACATTTTGGTTGGTGATATGGATTTTGAGGAATATGATCTGGCAGTACAATCCACCAATGAGGCGAGTGGCACTTTGGCGCCACCAGTCTGTGACGTGACGGTAGGCCACTGAGAACGAGGTAGATAATTTATTGCTGGTACCTTTCCATTAGGTGACATGGGGAACTTCTGGTTTTCCAAATATGACAGAGGGAAACCAAAACAAACCTCTCAGGGCTCCCTAACTATCACACAGGAAAGCCATAATTGTGCTCGCAAGCCTCATTCACAGCAACAGAGGAAAAAAGGCCAAAGTTTACAAAACTGACACATCCGGAAGCATCACCCAATAGAATGCTCCGCCTACAAACAGTGAGGCTCCAGCTCCTTCTGCTGAGCTTCACGCATTTCAGAAGGGACCCGCCCTGGCACTCAATGCATTAGAAGGGGCATAGCGCCTCGTTCTGAGCTCCAGAGGCATGAACATCGGCTGGCATACCATTTAGGCCAATGGTAACGAAAGGGTGTTAATCTATGCAAAAAACCAAAGTGTAGTAAGATGGAATATGGACACTGTGTGTTTCTTATCTGGTGGGAAGTTTTAGAATCATTTCCACATCAGCGATAAAAGTTGGAAAATAATCAGGTGCTAAGAGCTTTCTGCTTTGGACGGGCTAATGCAGTGACCGTCCAGGAAGCCGTGGAGTCTGGCCTAAGTGGTTTCTTTTTCCCTCTCAGAGAATTTGAGTGGTTTGTAGTTCTTTGAGGAAAGACCTCAAGAATATCTGCCTTTCAGTTGAGCAATTGCAAGATTTTTCAGTTTTATCACACTCTTCCTTTGAGAATCATTGACTGTCTTTGAAAATGAAATGTTTCCCGTATTCCAGAGAGCCAGTGCCAAGCACCCTGCAGACTCAGCCTCAGCTCTGCCCTCTCCAAAGGGCGCCATTGCTGGACTCTCTCATGGTTCCTGAGCCAAAGGCTCAAGTGAGCGTGAGGGCGGTGGCACCCTCCCTCACCCTCCCAGGGTTGTGAGTGGCAGGTTTTGTCCTGTCCCACCCGGTGGGGACTCGCTACACCGTCCACATCACATTCTATATCCTGTTTAAGAAGTCTTCCTTTACCCCGCCGGTCATAAACGTATTCTGCTATGTGTTCTTCTAAAAGTTTGCATTTTTGTCCGTAGCATTTTGGTCTCTAATCTGCCTGGAACTGATTTTTTGTGTGTAGGGTTAGAGGACCGAATTCATTTTCTTTCCCCAAATAGATACTACCTTTTCCATTATTGTTTAATGCCAGCCGTGAATGAAATCAGGATTCTATGTTGAATGAGTATGTTTCTGAGCTTTGTTCTGCTCCATCGGTCTACCTCTGTGCCGTAAACTGGCCCATTAGCAGAGGTTTTCAGGAATTCTTAGTGTTTGGGAAGGTGAGTGCCCCTTCTCTGTTCTTCTTTAGTGGTGTCTTGGCCATCCTTGGCCCTTTGATCTGCTGTGAAAATATTGAATCACCTCATCAAGTTCCACGAGAATACTTTTTGGAATTATATTACCTGGACGAATTAATGCAGGAGAGTCAGCATCGTTACAATGTGAGTCTGTGCTCTTTTTAAACGTCCATCAATACAGTTTTATAATTTCTTCCTAAGGGTTTGTGCATCATTTGTTAGATTTATTCCGAGGTACTTTACATATTTTCGATGCTATTATAAATGTTTATTGTAAAAATGGTTTTTCTAATTTTTTACTGGAGTGTATGGAAAGGGGGTTGATTTTTGCACAGTTACGTTCTGTCCCCACCTTACTAATCTCCCTTATTGATTCTCATCATCTATCTGCACATACTTTAGGTTTTCTTAACAGACTGCATGTCATCTGCAAACAGTGACAGCTTCATCTCTTCCTTTCCAGTCTTGTCCCTTTTATTTATTGTTCTTGCCTTCCTGGGCTGGCTGCCGCCCGCAGTGGGGTACAGCGATGATTGAGGGCAGCCTGGTCTCGGCCTCACTTTAAAGCGAGGGCACTCGCTGCTTCAAGGCCAGACGTTTGCCGCAGGTTTTGGCAAAAACAGGTGCCTTTACCACACTGAGAACGCTCCCGGCTCTTCCTCGTTTGGTTTTTTAAATCTTGAGCAGATGTTGATTTTTTCAAGGCATCATGGAGTGTGTGTCTGTTAAGATGATCTCGTGATTTTTCTCCTTTAAACGGGCCATTCATAGAATGATATTGTATGTTTTTTTTAATTATTAAATATACCTCTAGTTCTTGAGATAACCCAGTGTGCCATTCTAAAGTGTTGCATAGGCTGTTTAATTCCATGTGTTGGCATTTCACGTAGTGTTTTTACGTCTGTGTTCATGAGTGAGATGTTCCTGGAGTTTCCTCCTCTTGCTGTTTCTTGTTTGCTTTGGGTGACCCCTGCAGCCATGGCCCTCGTGGTGCAGTGGTTAAGAGCTCGGCTACTCACCAAACAGTCAGCAGTCCCAATCCACCAGCCGCTGCTTGTATACCCTTTGGGGCAGCTCTACTCTGTCCTGTAGGGTCGCTGTGAGTTGTATAGACTTAACAGCAATGGGCTTTTTTCTTTTAAGAAAACAAGTTGAGGGATGTTACTTCTTTTTATATACACTGGGATAGTTTTTGTAAGATTTAAAGTATTTGTTCTCTGAATGTTTGGTAGAATTTACAAGTAAAGCTGTCTGAGTTGATAATTTTTGTTTGTGGAAAGACCTTTGACTGCTGATTTAGTTTCTTTCATGGTTAAAGGGTTTTTCAAGTTTTTTATTGGTCTTGAGCCAGCTTTGCTAACTTTCTTATGTCGGAATTTGCCCATTTCAACTAAGTTTTCCAAGTCGTTGACATAAACTGCTTCATAACGTCCTCGTATTAACTTCGGAATGCTTCGGCATCTGCTGTTAGTGATGTTGCTTTTTTCTTTCTCGACTCTGATTATTTATGGCTTCTCTCTTTTCTTTTGATCACTGTTAATACGAGTTTCTGTACATTTTATTAGTCTTTTCAAAGAACCCGCTTTTAACTTTGTCGACCCTCCAGAAAGGTCAGCAGAACAGTAGAGTGAATACCCTTATGCTGTTCACCTGCAGTCAGCTGCTGTGAACGCTTTGCCGCCTTAGCTTTGTATCTCTCTGTAGATGAGTATTTTATCCCTGAGCCATGTGAAAGTGAGTTGCAGAGAGACATTCCAACACTGAGAATGAGGAGATTTTTCTGCAGAACTAGAAGATCATTAAGTTGCTTGGGAAATTTACATTGATTCTAAATATCATTGAACGTAGAGTTCACAGTAAAATCTTCCCAACTGTCTCCAGAATGTGTTTGAATAGGCCGTATTGTTTGCTGAGTTTGTTTTGGATCCAGGATCCAGTCAGAGTTCACACATTACGTTTGCTCGCCATGCTTCTCTTGTCTCCGCATTTCCATCAGCCCCCCTGCTCTCTGATGGCTCACTCCGAGTTTGTTTCCTTGTTTCTTCATGATTAGATGTCAGACTGAAAAGCAAGACCAAGCTGTGCTGTCCACAGGAGATACACTGTAAATACAGAGATGCACGTCAAACACAGCACACAAAAGTTGGAAGTAAAATGAAGGAAAAAGATACATCATGCAAACGCTCCTCAGGAGCAAGCGGGAGTGGCTGTGTGAATAACCAAGGAGTGTTGCCAGAGGTGGAGAGACGTTGTATAACGATAAATGCGTCAGTTTACCAGGAGGATAAACCATCCTAAGTGGGTATGTGCCTAATATCAGAGTTTTAAACTACATCAGGCAAAACCGACAGAACAAAAGGGAGAAATAAACTCAACATTTCAGTTGGAGATTTGAATAACCTTCTCTCAGTAATTGATAGATTAAAACTGATAATTAAAATTGACAGATAAAATAGATCGCTAAAAACTTTCTCACAACGAAAACTCCAGGCATATTCTATTTTTTCCTAGTTAAAAAAAAAGAATGAGTACTGATATAAAAGACCTGAACAATGTTATCAGTCACCCTGACTTAATTAACACTTATGGAACACTCCACCCAGCTGCAGAATACTCATTCTGAAGTGCATGTGGTACGTTCACTAGGACTGGCCATGTTCTGGGCCATAAAAATGCGTCTAAATTTTGAAGGATTGAAATCATGTGGAGTATATTCCCTGACCATGACATTTGAAATCATATGATACCTGGAAAAGCCCCAAATATTTGGAAATTAAATAGTACATGGGTCAAAGAAGAAATCACAGGGGAAAATAAAAAATAATTCAAACTGAATGCTAATGAAAATATGACTTATCAAAATTTACAGGATGTAGCTAAAGCAGTGCTCATATGGAAATGTATAGCTTTAAATTCTTTACGGCTTATTCTTAAGCCATAAAGGTTTAAGATTAAAATCTAATTTTCTACCATAAGAAACTAGAAAATGATGAACAAATTAAATTCAAAGTAAGTAGAAAGAAAGAAATATTTAAGAGCAGAAATCAATAAAATATAGAATAGGCAATAGAGAAAGCTAATATAGCTAAAATTTGATTCTTTGAAAAGATTAGTAAAATTGACAAATCTCTAGCTAGATACATCAAGAAAAAAAGAGAGAAGACACAGTTTATCACTATCAGGAGTGAAGAAGAGACTCTCAGGGCATATACTACAGACATTAAAAAGATAAGGGAATATTATGAATTACTTTATGCCAATAAATTTAACAAATTAAATGGACAAATGCCTTAAAAAAAATACAACTTACCAAAACTGACTTAATGTGAAATAGAAAACCAAATAGCCCTACAT